CAACATACACAAATCAATGAATGTAACACATCAAAGAAATAGAAGCCAGGTGGGTTAAGCATTGCGCATGTTAATGCTACTGGAGCTCCCCTTCTCTCATGGCTTCTCTGAGCCCTAAGTGCAGTTAACTCCCACACTGGCTCCCTCACTGGCTCGCTGCTTCCAGGTCTCCACAATCCTTTGCTTACTTCAAGGCCTCTGACAGAGGGCACATTCTCTGTCCCGCTCTCATGATCTGTTTTGTTCACCGTCTCCAGAGCTTCACTTTCTGACCCATGCTTGGCACAGTCCTGCATCCTCTTGCCCTCTGCAGTCCTGAGCAAGGCTTCCTGAGAGCTTCCCCCATGGGGTCCTATTGACACATGTGGGCAGCACCCTGATTGTCCCACAAGCACAGCAATTCCTGTGGTTTCTCCTGGGTGGAGTAGGTGACTAGTTCTTTCTGCATTATTCAACCTTCGTTGTCGCCACAGTCCTGCCACTTGTGGGTGCCACTTATAGAGTGCTAGTCTTCAAAACCCTAGTGCAGGGTGGCATTGTGACTACACAACTCTCTCAGTTTCTCTGAAGCCCTGGCATACACACATCTCAGTTCAGTCATCTTCCTGGTTGGGAGGGCAGAGTGCCTGTGAGCCTACTCCACCATCCGGACCAGCACTGAAGAGCCAGCTCCGGCACTTGGGTAGCTCGGTCCTCTTCCAAGAAAGCCTGCATACTGGACATAGGGGGGTGAGCGTCCCATGGTCTCAATATGGTCAGGATCCCTTTTCCAAGCTCCCAGACACTCGCTTTTGTTACAATAAATTCCTCTTCTCATTTAATTCCTATTACGAGGGTTTCTCCTAGCCCTGGTCAAGGTATCTTTCATTTTCTACAAGTTTAGAGAGGCTCACCCTTGCTGTCACATCCTAGGTGACCATAATGATCCCTGGGAAAATAATTTTTTTTGACAGGATTTCACTATTGTATAGTCCAGGCTGCCCATCCTTAATTCACTATGTAGGCCAGGCTGGCCTCAAACTCACAAGGATTCTCCTGACTCACCCTCATAAGTGCTGGGATTACAGGTGTGTGCTACCATGCCTGGTTGAAAACTTTTTATTTTTACTTGACACATAAAAATTGAGCATATTTACTGGATAATTATGATATTTCATGGTAACTGCATTGTCATGCCCTCAAACATGTTATTTCTTTGGTTTGAGCAAATTCAACCTACTCTGTAGGAGTTACTTTGAAATATACAGCTCATAGAAGGGTTCATCCCTCAGAAAGGGATTGCAAGGCACATACAGTGATTTACTTAATCCTAGCAGCCTATGAGTTAGTGTGTAACCGTGAAATAAATGGATTTCCACATTAATTGATACAATGGATGTGATGTAAGTAATCTCAGGCCAAGAGAGTGGGCAAAATTACTGCTCCAGTGAGTTGCTCAAAAGTGCATAATAGCAGGAATTTTGAGATTCCAGCATTTTCAGACAAGGGCTTGGGGAGCAGTGCAAATCTCTCTCTCTCTCTCTGTGTGTGTGTGTGTGTGTGTGTGTGTGTGTGTGTGTGTGTGTGTGTGAAGACATGACTTAAAATGCGTTTCTTCCTGGGGATATGCAAGCTGGTGCTCTTCTCATTTCATAGAAAAAGGAACATGAAGCCAGTTAAACAGGGGAGAGCTTCCAGCCAGCCAGAGGACAATTCAGGACCCGAATCAAGGCTTAACTTGGCAACATTTTTTGATATCACTTTGAAGACTCTTGTTTTTAAAATCCTTATGATGGCCTGATATGGTGGTGCACAGCTGTAATCCCAGCACTCTGCGGGCTGAGGCAGGATAATCCTGTAATCCCAGCATTCAAAACGTTGAGACAGGATTATTGCCTAGAGTTTGAAGCCACCCTGGTCTACACAGTAAGCAAAAGGCCCGCCTGTACTACATAGCAAGATTCTGTCTCAAAAAAAAAAAAAAATCTCTGTGATATTTGCCTTCAACTCTGTACTGTGCTGTGATATTTCCTTTCAATTCTTTATATATTCTCAGTATTAGTCCTCTGTCTCAGAACTAACTGGCAAAATTGTTTCCATACTGTAGGTAAATTTTCACTTGGTGGATTCCTTTGCTGTTAATTTTTAATTTAATATGATGTTGTTTACTGATTCTTGATATTATTTTTTGTGTTTAGGTTTCTGTTCAGAAAATCCTTGTAGCACCTATGTCTTCAAGATTCTTACCAATACAGACCCAGTCAAAAATGAGCTACTAAAACGATGCTTCTTAAAAACAGAAGGACCAATGGGCAACACATATGTGGGGACTTCTCCAACATCTCTGGCCATTAGAGAAACGTAAATGAAAACAATAAGATTTCATCTTAGTCCAGGGAGAATAGCTGTCACCAAGAAATCAAATAATAACAAACGATGTGAGGCTGCAGAGAAAAAGAAGCCCTTTCATATATTTGTGGGAATATAAACTAGGTACAATCACTCAGGAAATCAGTATGGAGATTCCTCAAAATCCTAAAACTGGAAACTGTATTTGACTCAGCTTTTCCCTTCTAAAAATCTTCCCCAAAGTGCTGAAGACATATTACAGTGATACATGCATATTCACATTAGTAGCAGCATCACTCAGAATAGCTAAACCTTAAAAGTGGCTTATAGGTCCATCAAATGGTGAACAAATAGAGAAAACATGGTGTCTGTACACTAGGGAGTACAAGAAGAAAAACTCGACTCATTTGTAAGAAAATGGTTGTGCCTTGAGACTTTGGCATCACATGAAATGAAGCAGAAACTTTTATTGAGACTTAAATATCACAGGCTTTCTCTTGGATGAGAAACTCAAAGTATGAATAAAGAACAAAAGATAGAAACAGGAAATATGAAGATAGATCTTTTGCAAAAGAGAAGTGGACCAGAGATGGAGGGAGGCAAAAGGGAGGAGAGAGAAAGAAAATTTAGTAAAGACTTCAGATGGTTATGGACTTGTACCAACTCCCCACAAGGAGCATAGCCTGTGTACTGCAAGCACATACTAACAAAAATTTTAAAGAATGCGGAAAAGAATGTTTGAACTCAGACTACTGATTGGAGCCATCGAGCAGGGCAGATTCCTACTGCTTGTTTTGAGTCCCTGAAAACTGGCAGTAGGGGATTCTTCAAGTGGGCAGTAACGGTGGCAATGGGTCCTCAGCTCTGACCCTTGTGATCTTGTGACCAGGACTGAGAGGCCACCACTGAGAAAGCAATGACTCTACCCCGGGCGTGCAGACATCGAGCAGGGAACTACAGCAGGGTGGACACTTGGCGTATCTGTCTCCTTAGCTCTGAGTCATCTCTCCTGCCTCAGCCTGGGTCAGCAGCTTCTGAGGAGTGGAGAGGGCTCCCCAGGGCAGAGGCGCTCCCTCACTGCTGTGGGAAAGCCCCGCCTGATCAGTGCTGAGACCATGACCCACCAGGCTCCATCTACATGGACCATGTGACTGTGCACACCACTGTCCCCTGTCTGTGTCACCTAGAACACATGGCAGCACCTTGAAAGACTAGACTGAGGCAGATACTGCCCTGTCCACCCCCTGAAGCCATACTGACCAAATTTCCTTCCCTACTTTTTGCCTCTATTGTCACCATTTGGTTACATCTAGCATTCCAGGAGACATTGCTCACATCTTGGGGAACACAAATCATCAGGGGTACATCTGATCTCAGGCTGCATATTTACTGAACAAGGGAGAACTTGTTTGGAAGAGTTCACAGCCCCAGCCTTGCATCAGGACCCCAGGCCTGCTGGGAGCTTCTGCCTTCCAACATTTCCTTCCTCCCCGACTGGGCACCAGGGCCACCGGAAGCAGAGTTCTCTCCCCAGAACTGGTGAAGACTGAGAAAGGCCTTTGTTTCCAGGCGCCTGCGTGAGGACTGGAAAACAGGAAGGAAGGAATGTGCTGTTGACTGGTGGGGGAGCAATCTCTCTTTTATTTTCAGTCACTTCTTCCTTTCTTATCCTTTTTTACTTGCGGTGCTGAGATTCAAACATAGAAGTGCTTGATCACTGAGCTACATTTCCAGTCATTTTTATCTATTTACTTTTATTTTAAGGCAAGGAAGGGCTGGTTAAGTTGCCTGTGTGGTACTCAAACTTCTAGTCCCCCTGCCTCAGCCTCTCTAAATGCTGGGATTCCAGGGTGGGCGTTGTGCCACTGTCAGACTTTTATTTTCAATTAGATACTTGCAATCAGTCCCTGCCTGAGGCAGACACACCTGATGTGTACTATGCTTATCACTGGCAGCACAGGCCAGGGGCCCACACAGAGGTCCCTAGGGGAAGAGGGAAAGGGGGAAGTTTCCACCTGGAACTAGCCAGGTTCAAGTAGGGGAGAAACTCACATACAGCAAGGGTTTACCTGTGACAGGCACTGGCCTAGAAATTTCCACAGGTCATATTGGATGCTCACAGCAGTGTCAAGGGCATTGTTTTCAAGTGATGGGCCAAGTGAGGTAAGAAGTCCAGGTTATATATGTAGTTGGAAGGTGATAAATGTCACACTGGATTCCAAGTCAGTGGCACAATACACAATTATGCCTGCCCAGCCAATCGGAGTGGCCCTCTCATAGGCAGGGACCCAAGGAAAGCCAGGAACAAGAGGAAGGTGTCAGACAGAAGGAGGCCCCAGGTAACCATGGCCTCCACTCCAAGCTGTCCCTGCTACTCTCCCTTTCTCTTCTCCCCTTCTCCTCACCCCTCCTGTCCGCACTGTCCCAAGGCTGTCCTGGTCCCACCTTAGCTGTTGGCTAGGAGTCAGGGTGGCGAGGAAGTGAGCACCTGCGTCCAGAGGAGAGGACCCTGAGACTCATTGTCACAGGCCCAGGACCGGGAGGTCCATCAGCCTCTCTTGGGGCTCCCTTTTCTGTCCCTGAGTGCTGAACACCATAACTTAGCCAGGGAGATTCCACATCATGTCTTCCTCATAAGCACAAATCCATGATTCAAGAAGAGGTGTAAGTACCTGTGGAGGATAGGCCGGCCATGGCGTCAGCTTCTGCGTCTCAGAGTTTCCCTTACAGCTCACACGGCGTCCAGGCTGGAGCAGAGGAGGAAACAAGTGATGGAAAGGAACTGGAGCCTGCTGGAGAAACAGTGGACAGCCATGTGCATCCGTCCCCACCCAGGAATGGCAGCATAGACCTCAAGGACATCAGCCAGAGTGTCCTCTGTTTCCTGAGCTCTGTGGCTGCTATTTAAAAAAGAAAAATGGCCATGGTCCTCCACAAATTTCCAGTGCCCACACCCCAACCAACATGGCACAAGGACAAATCTAAAAAGGCAAACTTAGGAATTATTACAAAAAGGTCATCGCCACTGGAGAACTGTCAGCCGCATCCTTTTCTGGGATGTTCCATGCTGCAGGTCGCGAGAAACAGGACAGCATTTGAGACTGGGAATTAAGCATCCAAGAGAGCAAGGGGTGGGCAGGCAGAAAGGATGGAGTTTTAGATGATGCCACATGTTTGTGAATGAGTGTGTACCCTGAGTCTCGTCCTCTCTGGTCACTCAAGGACAGTTTCTGATCCTTGTAAACAAGGGCCTCATTCCTGTGGCGATGTGGAAAGTGCCCCCTCCTGTCCTAGTGGGGCTCATCTCAGCTGCCCTGCTATCTGCCCAAATCTGGAAAGGCCACTGGTAGAAGGAAAGGGGAGAGTGCTGGGAGCATTCCTACACTGTGTCACCCTGGCCCTGTTCTTAGCCACTCACATGGCCTGGGCACAGAGCCCTGCATTCCCTAGCAACTGAGGCCTCAGTTCCCCACAGAAAGCAGAGCAGAGGTTTCAGCACTTTCTCTGGCCCTGGGGTCACAGCTTCCCCTGGGTACTTTCCATGTCTTCCTCTTTGGGATGGGCCCTGCTCACAGGCCTCCTCCTCCCTGCTGGCTGCCCCAAGCCCTTCTAAGCCTCCTGGAATGTGGAGGAGACTCCAGGCTCTCGTCCACAGCATGCTTCAGTGGGTGGTTGTCTCCCAGGGGACTCAGAGCACCCAGCAGGCTCCTGTTGTGCTCTCTGCTGCAGCTCCACTGGGCACCTACACATAACCAGTGTGGCCTCTGCCCTCCTCTCCCAGCCTGACCCAACACAGGGTGCGAGAGGCATTTTACAAACACAGGGCACCAGCGTCTGGGCACATGGCCCAGCTTCAGCTTCCCTCATGCCTAAAAAATTCTGTTTGTTTTTCTGTCTTGGGAAACTGTCTCCTTTTGGCAGAGAATAACCCGGAATCTGGCTCATATTCCACACAGGTTATCTTGCTGATGTTCGGGCCTTTGGACAAATGTACCATATATTTCAAAGTTATCATTCACTTCTTCATATCATCTTCCTTCAGCATTAATGTTTTACAAAGATGAGAAACAGACATGCTTTTAAAATCAGGGGCCCAGTTACTATCTGAAGAGCAGCAGGATTCAGTCCCAGGGTTTCAGAGTTCCCTCCCGTGGTGACACCCGAGGGCAGATGTCAAGCTCAGCTGCCCTGATCCATCTGCTCCTGCTCACTAAGGGAGCCAGGGAATCTGGGTGGAGTGGGCGGAAGTCACTCTCTCACTGCCTTGTTGCTCCATTGAGCCCCACGATAGGCAAACACAGTTCAGAGGAGGAGAGGCATGTTTAAACTCACTGGCTGTAAAATGACCAGATCAGACACACACTGCCTGCTATTGGCTCTTTCCCCCTTGCAATCAATGAGGGTGTGAAAGACTGCAGAGCTTAGGAAGATGATCGCAGTTCCTATTCAACACAGAAATGTCCTCTAGGTGTAGCCTGTCCACTCCACCATGGTTCCCCTGTCCCGGGCCAGGGGCAATAGTGTGCAGGGGAAAAGATGTACAAGAGCGTGAAGGTGGTGTTCAGATGGGCTTTCACAGCAAAGGAGGAAACTTCAAACTACGCAGGGGCAGAGAGGGGAGTCCGTGAATACTGCGGATTCCTGTACCACGCTTACACAGAATGGGGAGAAGAGAGAAGCGGCTTGTCATTAACACCCTTGGAATTGTGTATTTCAGGCTGAGCACACCAGGCTCCTCAGAGAAATAATCTGGCAACCTAGTGTGAACACCCATGACAGGGTGTCAGGGTGTGTGTGTGTGTGTGTGTGTGTGTGTGTGTGTGTGTGTGTGTGGTTTATATGAAGTTAAATCTCATCATGTTTTTTTCTACTTCCAGCAAATAGTCAGCAATGCTGGGATGTGGCAGGAGGAGCCACACTCTCCCCACCAGCATCGCCTGCATGAGAAGCCAGCGTGGGTTTTTTTTTTTTTTTTGCCCAGATTTCTTGCAGCCCCTATGACCTCTGGGCTCATGGTCCCTACTGACCACTCTCCCCGTGCTGTGGAAGACCCACCCAAGGAGTAGAAAGCAGCCGGCTGAAAGCACGGGACAACAGAGAACTCTAACTCCAGGTTCAGGGAGGAAAAGCAGAGGCTCAGGAGGAAATGTGAGTGCCCTTTGTCACGCAGTTCTTGGTGGACAGAGTGGAAGCCCACACTGGACTCTGCTTGGGAACTGAAGCATAAACTTTCATTCATCCCAGTTTCTTACTTTGTCTGCTTTCAGAGGCACAGAGGTCTGCCCTGCCACAGCCACAGTGCGGCCTTTCACGTCAGGATTACAAAGTGAGGTGGTGCTGGGGACACCATTCAGCAACCTCCCCACTGAGTCCCAAGTCCCGGTACTTTTCGCATTCCCACATGAAGGACAGCGTCTGCCTTTTCCTTCTCCCCTGCACATCCCCACAGAGGGTTAGGAGCTGGCCAGTGGGAACAAGCCAACCGACCCCATGTCCAGCCTCATTCCCACAAGCCTGTCTGCTCGCTAGACTTCACTTTTTCCACAGGGCCCAGAACTGATAGGGTGGGTGGGCAAGACAATCTCTGTTTTCCTTATATCTTGAGAGAAGTGCTTTGTGCCTTCAGGCCTCAGTAGCAGCCCCCTGAGTTCATCCTCAGATCCCCTGTCCTCCTCAACCACCATTAGTTCCTTAACATTTTACAGAAAGGTAGCCAATCGCATCCACCCTCCCCCTGCCTCGCATGCCCTGCTCTCTCTCCAGCAGTCTGGCTCCAAAGTTGAGCCACAAGGAGCTTTGTGACCCATCTGGAAGGACTCCACACTCTCTGCTTTGCATAGAGTCCAGTGGGAGGGATTCAATCAGACACAGTCCTGGGTGGAAATGCAGGCTGTTCTGTTCAAGTGTGTGCCCTGGGGTACTCACTAATGTCTCCCAGCTCTCCTGTAACATGGAGACAACAACTTTTCTGACAAAGAGATCCTGAGGCTAAAGATATGGAGGAATCCCCAACTTACCACAGAATCCTCCCAAGGTAAATCCACTCGTTTCAACACTACCCAGCTGATCCAGCCGACCCAGGCACTCTTTGCTGTGTGGATGTGGTCACAAGAAAGAGAAATGAGCAGGGGCTTTTTCCAATTAATACTCTCATGCACTGAAAACAGAAACTGAAAGTCGACTTCTGAGGTATTCATGACCCTCCCTGCGGTACCACTCAGAGATGTAACAGCATCAGCCTGTGCATTCCAGGTTATTCTCAGTCAAGTTCACCTCAAATGTCCTTAGGACCATGGTCTTCAGGAAAAATGATCGGCCACCGACCAAGTACAGGACCGGGACATTACTTCCTGCTAACCATGTCTTAGAACTAAACACTCAGCATCCCTGTCCCCATCCACTGCATCATGGGCTCTCTCCTGCCCTGCACACTAACTGCATCCTTTTTCTTGTATTTTGTGTCTAGATATGCCCCCAAAGCCTCATGTGGTGATGGGGTTTCTTGCAGGTAACTGAATCTAGAGGGTGGGACTCATTCATACTGTATTGCTGGGATTAAAGGTGCTGGGATTTCGAGTGAGTGACAGCTGGATCACTCCGCTGATTGGATAGACAATCCATCTCTAATCCCAATGACTGGGTACATTGTAAGGGAGAAGAAGAGGCTGTCTTGTGCTCTCCTTCACTGCTTTTGCTGTTATCTGCTATCATGAATGGTTGCCCCTCTGCCATGTGCCACCTTGCCATGGACCCATCCAATTATGGATTGAAATCTATACAGACTGTGAGCTAAATAAACCTTTCCATCTTTAACTTTGGACATTTAACTTTGGACATCTACCATAATTGGGTATTTTAATCCCAACAACAAGAAAAATAACCAAGAAATTTATTGTACTGCTCTTGTAGAATCTCAAGTCCATGCAGCTTGCAGGCATTTACCTAGAGTCTTCTGACAGAGCCACGTAATTTACCACCTGGAGCTGTCATGCACAGCGTTGTGGTTTGTTTAAATGTCTCCCCAAAGCTTCACACAGTCATGGAGACAGCTAAATCTAGCATTTATGATTGGTTCATTGTCTAGCACTGGGGTTGGCAGTGTTAGTCTGCACCCACCGAGGGGCAGGTAACCAGCATACAATTTAAAGGGTGGGGGGAGGCGTATTTTGTCCCATTTTTGCCTTTTTCACTCTTGGTGCTTGCAGTTGTGGTCACTATGAATGGTTGTCCCTTAGCCACACCACCCTGCCTTGGAACCAGCTGACTATGGACTGAAACCTTTAAAAAGTGTAAGCTAAATAAACCTTTCCTTTTCTAATTTTGGGTGTCAGGTATTTTATGTTAGTAATGAGAGAAAAGAAAAAACAAGACACACGGCTCCCATTGAGATTCCTCCAGTAACCTGCAGCCTGATCACTTACCCACTGACCCTGCTCTGCTCCCATGGCAACAAGGCAGGGGCAGACCTCCAAGGGTTTACTTGTATCTCAGTTCAGTTACATATTTAAGTGGAGGGTTTGCTGGGGAAGGCTTTTCACCAAATCTTTGGTCCACAAAAGATTCTTCCCATTGAGAATATGATTCTAATTCATCAGAAAGGAGCCCTAGCTCTGCACCAGAAGGGCCCCCAGGGGACAATGACGTTGTCACCTATCAAAAGTCACTGTATAAACACTCAAGTTGTGCAGGCATCATAGCCACCACCCTGGCCATGAAAAAGTGGGCTTGATTTAAAAACTGAACTCTATTCTGAGTTCTGTGGAACAGGAACTCCTCCTGTTGTCCCTTTTTCTAGTGGCTACAGAAAGGAAAAGCATCTTCCAACTGAACATGTGACATGGGGCTCTCTGAGGTCCTCAGAGTAGATACCAAAGGCAGCACTCTTTGAACTACAAGACACGTGGCAGGGGACAAGCTACTGTATTCCTTGAGGACACCCCAGGTGACCTCATGGGAAGTTCAATAGAAAGACACAGGTGCATGTAGCATGGCCAGCATAGGCCGTGGGACCAGCCCAGTGGCAGTGAAGGTCAGAAGCAGCAGTCAGAACGTGACACTGTTTCCTGAGTAATGCCGAGAGCTGGTTCTTGATGAGAGCGGTGAACCGGTGCTGGGCTCTGTCACCCAGACATGCAGAAGAGAAGTCGGTGAGCAGGTTCATCATTTCATTTCAAAGGCTTTGCGGGCAAACTCCAGCAGAGCAGTCCGGAGTCACCTCATTGCCAGTGCCCCAGAGGGGAATGAGTGAAAAGCCATCTGGCAGCAGTAGACTGACGCATTCGGGAAGTAGACTGAGGGGATTTTGCTGAGAGGTAGCAGCTGAGATCACGCGGACTCCACTCCAGTGGCTGCCAAAAGCCAGTCTTAGTTCCAGATACCAGTGACTGTGAGTGTCCACCGGCCTATGACTAGCAAAGGGGACTCGGAGGCAGATTTAACATCCGATAGGCACTGACAGGGAATCAAGTGTACCTCAAAATGTCAGGCATAAAAGGCCAAGGGAGTGAGGTTTATATGGCGTTGCAAAAGGTGGGGGGACAATGGTATATTTTCCTGTAAGTGAACATCATCTCTTCTCTTTCTCGTTTGCTTCAATATTCTCTTGCTTTCTTTTTTTTTTTTTATGGTAACTACTATTCTTTAAAAAAATTATTTAGTTATTTCTTATGTTTATTTTAATTAAGGGGAAAAATTTTAAAAATTGGGATATATAATAGTAACTCTTTTTGATTTCCTATTAACTTGTTTTGAAGTCCTGTAATACTCCCACAATCTTGTTTTGACTGATTAGACTCTGTTCCATTCTGTGCGATAGTAGCAAGTCTGAGGGTATAGGCAACTACTTTGAAGGCAATAAGATTCACTAAGATGCCCATTCTGGTTTGACTATTGTCTCCTTTGGAAGTCCTGTAATGTTCACAATGCCTAAGTTTTATTGGTCTTGTTCTCCACTGTTTTGTCCAACTTTATAATATCTAATGAGATAGACAATTCCTTTTAAGGAAACAAGAGACAACGTTGATAACCATTGTTAATAACCTTGTACTCTGTTCTACATCATGTGCTATGTTTATCCTTGGTTTTGACTGACAGCTTTGTTTTGCCATATTTGACTTTATCCCCCCCCCCAAAAAAAAGTAATAAGAACTAAGGAGTAATAAAATCCAAAATGTGTAAATTTTGTTGTAAAAAAGAGAGGGAGGGGGAAAAAAAAGAGCGCTAACGGATATAACAGCAAGTGTGTTTAGGGGTGTTAAATAGCTGACTATATTAATGTTTTTGGATCATTGAACACAGCTGTTTGCAGTCTCTCTGTTTGAATGTCTACATTGTATTCTTTGATACTGATGATTTGAGCAACTATTTCCAAGATGATAATATGTAATCTATTAATAGGTGATTTCTTACTGTTATGTTTTTTTTTTGTAGTTCTGTATTATGTGTAACCTTACACCACTTTGTTTTGTTTTGTGTTTTTCTCTTTTTCCTCTTAAATAAAATTAAAAAAAAATATTCTCTTGCTTTCTTTTCCATTCTTGCTGACCTGTGCTCTTCTCTAGTTTCCCAAAACTTGGGCAACATCCTAATTTCTATTATAATTCTCCTCATATATCTCTCTGGTTTTTTCCTCATCCCTCTTAAATCTCTGACCAACAGAGTAAACTCACTCTGCTATGGGGAAACTCATTGCACGGAAGTTCCCGGTATATGTTATATTCTATTATTTACATATAGAGCTTGCTCCTTGGGTTGAAAGTACCAAGATAATAGTTACCACAGTGTATCAGTTGCTAGGCTGTGTTTGATGCTATTGCTATTGCTAATTGTACTGCTTTTATCAAGATCTCATAACTGTTATAATTGATTTTTCTGCTGCATATAAAAATGCTGTGATTTTTCTGGGGTCATAACCATCACAGTAGTCCAATATCAAAGGACTGGGTGCTGGGTCAAATACATAATAACTTCTCACCCATAAAATTTGGGAAGGTAGGTTCTTGGCATCCACACAATGACCACGAAACACCTACATTAGAAGACATCTCTGAGAAACACACATTTCCTAGAGAAGCCTCAATACTATTGATAAAACCATCTACCTTAATAAATCCACAAGCACCAACACAAAACAAAATAAAAAGTAGAAAATGACAAGATGCAGAAGCAAAATGCAACACAAGACCTGTAGGTCACCCAGGAGAAGCTGAGAACACAATGAAATAGAGGCAATCGGAACTTTCTGAAATGATAACAGCAGTCACTTCTAGACAAGATATCAGCTTCATCCTAAAGATGATCCTATGGGCCTTTCATCACATGGGAAAGTCAACCCTGAGTAGCAAGGGTCAGCCTCAGGAAAGTTTGGTACTGAGTGTCATAGTGACAAAATAAAACTCATAATATTAATATTCCTACGTTGAAATCCAGTTAGATTTCAATTTAACACAGGCAACTGATCATGTTGTTTGCATGCAGGAATTTTAGTTGAAAGACTCTCTGCTGAGTCTTAAGAATGTTGCCGACAAACTTTAACCAGGAAAAGAAGTAGCATTATACGCGGTAGATTGAAAATAGAAATGGTAAAGAGATACCTGGGGGAGGAAATGAGTTGTGAGACCTGCCATCCAGGCAAGTCTGGGGCTTCTGAAAGGGACATAACCAACCTCAACCCACCTAGAACTTACCAGTCAAAGACCAAGAGGATAGTCAGGGACATAGTTCAGGGGCACAAGCATCCGCTTGGCAAGCATAATGTCATGAGTTTGTTTCCCAGCACACAAACACACACACAAAAAAAGACCAAGGGGATGGTATCTGGCATCACCATTATGCAAAAAATAAAAAAAATTATGGCCTTAGATATAATAGTGCTACTCGAGGAAACAATATAAAAGTCCATTCATAACACAGGATATGGAAATTGAACTGTTCACAATGAATTTAAAGCAGAAATGTGAAGAGACATTTAAATGCCTATACTCGTGGCCACATGATTCACTATAGACAAAGGTGGAACTGCCCAGGTGTCCATGACAGATGGATGGATGAATGGCTGGGAAAGCAAAAGGTATCTGACAACACACAACAGAATATCAATCTTATAAAGCTAAGGAGACAATGCTGCAAGCTATAATTACACTAAGGG